TTTTTTAACAAGTGCGAGTAAATTGCTGTTGATGCCAATTTCGGCGAAAGACAAAACATTGTAGCGTTTGCCGTCTTAGAGTACTCTCGACTGAAGAGAACAATCGGAATGGAATCGCTCGGCTTTATGTCGGGCGAATGGGGCGATTGAACCCAGGTCTCAGTATTGTTTGTGTCCCAGCACTGCCCTACAATACAGTTACTCGGGGTCTGGCACTATGACGAGCAACGGTGGCCTTCTTGTAGTTGTGTGGTATCATCCATTTGTCGATCTGATTGCCGAGGATCAGGCAATATACACCGACAGCGACGATTTTATTCTCTGTATAGAGCCGCCTGAAAGCCACTGTGTAGCTTTGCTATGATGATCATTCACTTGCTGCATTCATGCAAAATTGACGATTGTGAGTTTTGGCTCGAGGTACCACCCATATTTCATCTAGGGCCGGGGTGCGTTTTCACAGTCGTGAATGACATCTCATGCTGAGAACATTACTGCTAGAGGCATAGAATCGGTACTGCGTTCGTGCTTCTACAAGAAAATTAGGTACCCATGCGCACACCCTCTTGACCATCCTCAGTTTATCGGACATAACTCGGGCAGCAGTTGCAGCTGGGATGTCAGACTCGCGGGGAAGCTCGACAAGGGTCCAGGCTCTGTGATCAGATATTCAGCGCTTGACTTCATCCACCCTTTTTTTGTGCAGGAATGAACATTATGGGACCATCCACGACAACAAATTCTTCGATCTCTCGAGAACTTCTTCTGAGGGTAGAGGTCCTCTATATGTCTCGGCACTTCTGAATGGGATGACCTATATGTGCGGAGGCTTTCTTTAGACATTATTCTCCGCAAGCGTGGATGATGCACTACTTTCCCAGTTCAAAAAGTGAGAAAAGCGCGACCCGCTCGCGAAAGTCGTCCACCCACCGCCCACGCAAATGCCCAACTTTCATTTACTTGCTACTTCGTAAAGCGCTACTTGTTCTGTGCATTCTGAACGTTGAGAGTGAAGCGATGAAGACAAAGGCTGACCCCACCAAGCAAAAACGCGTCCGATCACGGCCTTTCACCGCCTTATGCAAGTACAAGCGCGATTCAGCATAGGATTCTATATGGGCATTTCATGCAAATTTTCTGCTCTCTTCTTCACACCTGTGAGCCGCAAAATCACCATTTTAGAACCCATGGCATCTGTTGATTCATGTGAAACTGGAATAACGAGATAATAGCCACGAAGTTTGTTATCAATTCTATTCTGAGTGACCCCACAGCACGGAGCCATTGAATCACTGCAAGCGAGGACATTTCCTGTTAGGTCGAAATAGCCTGAGGTCAGCAAGAAGGTCCACCGTCGACTAAAAAATATGCATCGGACGGCAATGCATATTTCGATGAGGTAAAGCTAAGCCCACCATTGGATATGGATTACTGGCATAGCTGGTAACGTGCTTGTTAAAATCACAATGTCTGTAAATGACCCGGAAGGATGTCTTTGAGGAGCATTTCAATTCCTGTGCAGTGAATGGAATCAGCATGGTGACAAGACACGTCGTATTACAATTGCACCACCCTCAGATCGCCCTCCATCAATCAGCCAAGTTTTTTCCTCATTGATGCACTAGCCTCACAACAAAAGTGTAATGAGACCCAAGCCCTTGTTCTCGCGCCGAAGAAGGGAAAAACTCACCCATGCGCGTGCGGCGCGATTTTTGACGTCACCGCGGCGGCAAGGCGAAGCGAAAGGCGATGGCCTGCGCCTCCACCACTGTGCTCCAATCAGCAGACGCTTTTATGTGGAAGGAAAAGAGAGGGGGGGGGGAAGAGAAAAGAGGACTAAAACAGATAGTGGATGCTTACAGGGTGAGTTAGTGATCGTGGTTAGAGAATACAGAAAAGTCGACTATCACG